AGATTAACACCAAGATTACCACCAGACATACAATCAAGCAATAAACAATACCCTAATTAAGGAACTACCAAGGGGGAAAAAAAACCCACACCCCCACCAACACTGACAGGGCAAGCTACTATATATAAACAGAGAGCAAACCCCATTCCATTCTAGACTGAAGATGTTACCTAGCTGGGTCATGAAACATTTGCAAGAAAACAGCCAAGCTCAGAGAACCCCAAGGACTCCACAAGCAATAGGATCAAGAATGAATGGGTATTGAATGAATGGAGATACAAAAGTGAGTGACTTGTATAAAAAAAGCAAATTAAAGTGATTTGGTCATTATAGAAAGAATGGATGAGAATCAAGACCAAGAAAGTGGATGGAGCTGATGAGATCCTGAAAGAGAGGTGAGAAGTTTAAAGAAGAAAAAGCAATGTATGAAGTGATATATGGATGTGGTAGAAACAAGGATGGTTTGAAAGGATAGAAAATATGTAAAGGTATAGTGAATTGTGTTGGTATAAACTAATTTCAGATACACTTTCTTCCCTTCACCTCCTTTTGGGCTTTTAATTTATTTGACCTAATATTTCTTACTACCTTTTTGTGCTCTGTATAATGTTCTTACCCGGAAAGGGAATAGTGTGATAGCTATGCCTGAACCTTCTTAGCAGCTTCTCCCATATTGGACAGAGCCACATTCAAGGGGAAGTTAGGTTACATTTCACTGTTCTTCTCAAACGTTCACACAGCTTTTGATCATCCCCACTGCCTAGCATGGTACAAAAGAGCAAATGTCACCTGTGACTGATTTTGTAGAAACAGGGCCTTATCCTGTATTAGCCAATAATAGGTCCAAAGGCTTTCCAACAGACTATTTTGAATTACTCAAGAAACGACTGTGTCATAATAATCATTCAATTGACGCTAGTTAAAATTTTTGAAATGAAAAACTCTCCAACAGTCCTGCATGTCAGTGCAGTGACAACCATTACATTATACTTTCTCAAGGTTTACCCAAATGTAAAAGTTTAAAGTACAATACTATACAATTATACAGTAGTTAACAATCACTCTGAAATCTATAACAAGTTGGGGGCTTATTTTTGTATACAGACCAATTATAAAGAATTAATGGCAAGAGAAGCCCAGAATTTTTCATTTCAGTTTGCATCATGTGTAAGAATTAGTTGATATAACTTAAAAGGATTTTTAAACTGAAATTTTTCGAGAATCCAATTTGGCTTATGCTCACTACTAGAGCAAAATCTATGATATATAGTAATAATCCAATAAAAATCCAAGGAGTAACAGCAGTTGAGGACAGCATATGTTCACTTCTCATATGTACTCATGTATGACAGATCTAAATACTTTAAGTATGATTTAGACAGCCAGTGCAGTGCAGTGGTTAAGGAAGGGGTTGGACGCATCCACCCTCCACCACAGAAGTTCGCTTAAGTAACTTTGGGTCACTCAATCTCAGCACAACAGCTTCACAAGGTTGTTGCTGTGCAGAAAGCAGGAGGAGGGAGCACTAGGTACATTGCCTTGAGCTCCTAAATGAAAGACAAGATAGAAATAAATTTAATAAATAATACATAAGCTCTGCACAGGAAGGTTTACCTGCCCTGGGCTCATCTACCAGGAAAGGCAGAACCAGAATTCCTTCAAAAGCAGGTTGTCCAACTGTTTCACTAGAACAATAAATACTTTTGGGGGGGAAATGAGTAATAGTAATACATACCCAATTTATGTACAGCATGAACAATTGTAGATCCACTTCCAATTCCAAGGACATGATTAGTCTATAAAGGAGCATAAACATTTTCCTTTGGTAGATCAACACAGAAATTGTAATGCATGATTACTAAATATTTTGTGGTACTTCCTTCTTTCAAGCAGTGATAATCCTGGCTTCTAAAGGAGGTGGAAAGATGTCTCATATAGACAAGTAAAACAAGCATGGCTCAGTATAAAAACCTAATTCTTCTTCTGTGAACATTCAGGATATCAAAAAAAACAAAAGAAAACATTAAACTCCAATTTCTATAAAGTAAAAGAAATAATTTCAATCTGTACAGTTAAATAATATAATTGGCTACTAGTTGACCTAATATATGTAGTAGCTTGACTGGGTATATGATATGCATTTTCAAACAACTGCTTTTCATAATCACATTTTATGCATTAAAAATACCGCATGGCATCTGAAAAACCAAGATGTGAAAGTCTGATCAGGGAATTTACTTCTCAGTAAGTATGCACAGACTGAACTAAGAATACAGTAAAATATTTAATTTGCAAGCAAGGTAACCCAAATTAAAACTCCAGACAGATCAATAAGTAATTTTTTAGAAAAATGGGACCATCCAACTCAGTGTCCCTCAATCTTGTCAGCTTGAAGATGTGTGGACTTCTCCAGCTATGCTGGCTGGAGAATTCTGGGAGTTGAAGTCCACACATCTCCAAGCTGACAAGGTTGAGGGACACTGATCGAACTCATAGTATCGGGCAAAGTCCTCCAAATGAGTATAAACTACAACTCCCAGCAAATCCAATTCCAACGGTGGAGGTATGGCTGCGAATCGTAGCGCTTTGCATTTTGAGTCAGACAAGTCCTCCGCCCTTCATCTGTTCAGAAATCGTTCAACCAACTTCAGAACAGCGGCCGTTTCGACCCACATAAAATCTACACACATCACACCTCGTCTGGCGAAAACGAAGGGCAGCCGTCCACAAACGTCAGACTACACATTTCATAACGCCTAAACACGTCTGATAAAGACCCAGGTTCCAAAACCAGCAGCGAAGAAACGCACTTCCTTGTCAAAATACGTCCCTACCTGCACGTGATTGTCTACCGCAGCACAGGCGGCCAGCTTTTTGGCTGCTTCTGTCATGATCTTTCGCACGCGCCCTCTCTGCAGAGCCTTCGACTCGACGCTCCCTTCCGCTACCAGCGTCCTGCAGAGAAAAGTGAGAGGCTCCGTCCTGTGCCGCATGACGGTGACCCCGCCCGCTCGCCGCCTCTCGCCCCTTGGGCTTCCCCCTGGCGCCTGCGATTACTCCGAACCGCCGCTCGGAGACTCCGTTCATGAATAAAGCCGCGTCTCCCCTCGCAAACGCCGACTTCTGCTAGGCACACATGCGATTTTGAGTACCGCTGACCGAATTGAGCGCGCGCAGTGCAAATTGCACCAGGCCACCAAGAGACTGCATCCCGGCATTCAGCTGTTTTGAACGCAAGGATGGTTTTTCCTTCCCGTTGGCAGGAGCGGATGTATTCTAGCCACCATGAGTATCCGCCGCTACAGGGTTAATCGTTTAACCACACAATAATGTATCTTACGTACTTTTTAAATATTTTTGCCAGACTTCAATATCAAATGTTGAACACCTCGTGTCTGACACACCTACAGTTAAATAGCCTCAGTAATTAGGATTCAAGCAGAGCTCTGCATCTCTGGCCTCTTAAGCCCTTCTCTCTTCGGTTGCAACTTCCGTGATCATAAATTAGTATCAGAGAAAAACTGCTGCACATATGTAATTTACATGGACAGAATTTTCTTTCAAATTGGAGGGGGAGGCTAAATTCCCAGTGAGAAAAACCATCATCTTTGGAATGAAATAAAAAGTCCTTTAAATACACAAGAATATAAAGTAATGTGGTTCTCTAGGAGTCGACAATGACTTGATGGTACATAATCGATCTTGTATTCCATTCTCAAATTATTTCTGGACTAATCTATCCACTCTAGCACGTAACTTTTTTTGCAAACGACTGTATATTTCACGTTGCCAAGTTATTGGGCTCTTGTCATTTCTTGATCCTTTTTTGAGGGCGGCACGATTCTCTCACGTTTATTCATCAAAGATACGGCGTCTAGAAAGTTTTCAACCATGAGAACGGAATTGCACCTCCAGGCATAGAGGCCATATCACTGTTACTATAATTCAAACCGTAGGCAGCAAGGTTGCTTTTAATCCCCGTGAGGTTTTCCGGTCCTGCGCAGGTAGACACTCAAACCACAGTCATCTCTAAAAAGAAAACGTTAGACTCGGCATCTGGAAGAGCGTCAGAGCGTCGTAACACTGGGTTGAACCACTTCAGGCATCAACTGAAGGGTCTGGGTTTTGAATGCTTCCCCATACGAACTTGCAAATAAAACAAAAAAGCAAATAAAACTAAAACATCTGTTCAAAAAGCTTCTAGATCTCTCCACTTCTTCCTCAGTTAACAATGTTTTAATTGCAGGAAACAATCGATGCTGCATTCAAATACAACCCTTCCTTGTCCGAAGTGTACCATTCATTTTATCACGCTGGGAATTTCCCAACTCGTTCTGTTGTGCGTCCAGATCAAGTCTGGTTGAGCTTGGCTCCTCTTTCCTATGTTGAACTAGAATTTCTATACACACATATATATGAACATTCCTTATTCGGTTCCGTCCAGATATGAAAGAATTGTTAAACGTTACGTCGAGGGCATTTTTACCTTCCGTAACCCCATGAGGTTTAACAGCTGCGGCTTCTTTAGGACGTTCCCTCCCCCAGCCCTCCGCTCTGGAGAATACCGTCAACACTCAGAATCGGCCACGTAGGAAGCATCGGCCTTGCCCAATCAAGAGGGGGAGGAAAAGAGCAGCAGCCAATCACTGCACTCCACCAACTATCTCCAAATTCTCCAATCAAAGAGCGAAAGTGAATCTCAGAAGTAGAATTGCTGCTTAAACCAATCATGGAAACCTTGGAGACACGAACCTTTTTATTGGCGGGCGAAAGCCAGAAGCGTCATTATCATTGGCTCTGGGTACATGTTGACAACTATCACGCGTTCGTCCCTTTTCTTCCATAGAGGCGGGAACCCCCGGAAAGTCTGATCCAGCGATTGGATAGATTGATAAAAATAACAAAAGATGTGACTAAAGTCAAGCAATCTAGCTTGTGAACAAGTGCGCCGGTACGTGGCCCACAGGGGGTGGGATTGGTAAACCAAAAGCAAGTTAGGTTGCAGTGTGCGCGTGCGTACTGGAAATCTCGGTCTGCTCAGGAGAAGTGATTGAATCCTCTTCGGTGGCCGTTAGCAGGGGCTGCACGGAGCCAAACGGGAGCTTATGCCATAACGACGTCTTTGGGGCGAGTGGAGGGAGGGCCCCTCCATGCCAGGGCCGCGAGGCCCTAGCGTTCGGCCTGCTCCTTCCGCCGCCACTCTCTCTAACGTCGCCGCCCTGGTGCTCCTCTGGTTCTTCTTGCCGCTCTGCGTCCCCCTGAGGGAGGCGGTGGCGTTTTCGGAGGGCGATGGCCGGCCCGGACTAGGGCTCGGTGGTGCTGCAGCTGCGGCGCTTCCGGTGGTAGCCGACGTGATCGTGGAGGACGATGAGGCCAGCGGCGTGGCACAGGCCGCGTCCTCCGGGGAGCAGGAGGAAGAAGCAGTGGAAGCTCCCACCCGAAGCGGCAGTTGCAGGTGAGGCGGGAAGGGATCGGGGTGTCTTTTATAGGTCGCTGTATCCCGTTCTGGGCCTTCCTCTAGTCCGTCTTTCCCAACCTGCTGCTTTCTAATGCGGGAACTATAATTCCTCAAATCCCAAGTCAGGAGGCTCTCGGTCATGTTGGCTGAGAGGTGTTGCCAAACACGGTGTAGTTCCTTGCCATTCTTTTCGGCTTCCAGTAAAGAGTTGATCAGTATCTTCGGAGAATGAGGGTCTCTCTCCAGAGACACAGATGCTTTGCATGATGGCGAAAGCGAGCATCCCACTACAGGACAGAGTCGTTTGGGCTATACTTAAGTCTTCCTTTTCTACCACTCCTCCCCCTCCCTCAGTGTACTCTTTAAGTAAATTGCCATTTGAGCTCCTGCTTAGGTCATTTAACACTCATGTAGTCTATTTCTTCCTATTTTCTTTGACATGGTACAAATTATGTGAGCAGTATGTTGCCTATACATAGAGAAAATTGGGATGGAATACATTTTTATTCACTCTTTTACTCTTTGTTCACTTTTTCACTCAAGAACTGCTTTCATATATAAGTCAGACTAACTTAGTCTGATATAATATTTTTCTTACTGTAGTTCAACTTTTTGGATATGCAGGCTAGGAGGTAGAAATGTGCTATGGTTACTTCTTGCAAGGATGTGTTTTGCAGTGTATGAAATTTCCTGTTTCCTGAGATTTTGTAGAGTAATTATGCTTTCTTTTTCTGGTAGATTCTTAGGAATCTTTGGGGGAGGGGCATTTTGATAAACTTAATGCATTTGATCACCCAAGTGCCAATTTAGTTGTAATGAATTGCAGATGTTAAGGATCCAAACAGAAATCCTTAAAGTTGCCATCCTGTGAAAATTTATTTTGGAACAAGAACCATTAAATGGAGGGCAGTTTGTCTCTGAGCAGCATATTCTATTGAAAATTGGGTCTCATGCTTATTTATGCTGTCTGCAAGAATTGAAACAGTTTTTAGGAAATAGCCTTATGAGTATTGTTCTACTTAGCTGAGAGTAGTCAACTGCTAGTGGTTCTTTATTTTTATTCAGCAGAGTTGTTCCAAATCTCCCGGACATGTTAGAAATTACATTTGTATTTTTTAATTCAAGGCTCTGCCTGCAAGCTCCAAAATCCATTATCTTTTGCTATGCTGGCTGGGACTGATAGAACTGAAATGTAGAAGTTTCCAAGTTGCCAAAAACTTATTTATGGAAACTTTTAAAAATATAATTCCATGAAGAAAGAGTTTTGTTAAATGGTTTTCCTAAACAAATGCATAACCAAAGTCACAAGCTGAGAAATATTTTGATATCATTGAATTAAAGATATCACCTCCTGATATTTTCTGATTAGAGATAAATTGCCCCTTTTAGTTGATTTACGTGTTTTTAAAAGCTGTCTTCTTTGGAGAAAAAGAAGTTAAGATATTTAAAATAACTTTTATGTGAACTAATAACGTAAAAATACTTCATGTTCTTGCTATGTGAAATGCTTTTAAGCTTCAGTTCTTATACTACTATTATGTTGATTGCAGAACTTAGTAGAGATTGATAATTTGTCAGCTCAGTTACATTTTGCTGTTTAGGGTTTTTCATGTATTTACAGTTTGCATGTAGAACAACATACCTCATAGATTTCAATAGTAGGGTTCCCTCTTTCTTTTTACACTATTAGAAAAATTCACTCTGCCAGAGTTACAGAAAACTATACATTATTCTTCTTGACTACTATATTTTCCTCTGGTCTTGATCTTCTGCCTCACCTTGATGTTCACAGTATATTCAGAACATTTTGCCAACATGTGTGCATTCATCACCTTTATAAAATGATTTATATAAATCCTTACACTGTTTCTTCTCCATCCCAGGTCTTGCACTAAGTTCCCATCTGTATTTTCAAACTCTTTCCTGTTTTGTTTTGTTTTTCTTTTGATCCAGCTCCACTACCCTTAGTTTTCTTCTTCCATTAACTTCACCTTTTGACATATACTGTGGTCCATAACAACAACAATAATAATAATTTTATTAAACATGTATACTGCCCAACTCTCAATGACTGGGCAGCTCACAACAATCAGAATGACTCAGAGGCCAGGCCATCTCTTTTTTCAAATTCTCAAAACTCATTTTCTCCGTGTAGTGTTCAAAATGCCTGCCTTAGCAGTTGGTTTATCATCTGTTCATGCATTGTATGGGATTCTGACTGGCATATTTCACCATGTGTTGCCTTTTAGGAAATTATTTGCCAATTCACAACAGATTTTTCTGGAAAGCATTATCTTTTTTATAGCTTAAAAGAGTTAGGGACAGATCAACACAGAGAAAATCTATCTATGTGGTCACTAAGAGTAAACAACAACTTGATACATAATCAAAAGAAAAAACAGTTCCATTATAACGTTTATTTGCTCTTTTAGTAAATTGTGTCATATTGATTAGTGATGTTTCATTCTTAGGTTTAAACGTTTTATATATACAGTAGGCAATTTTGTAAGATGGCTATTGTGAAATTCGGAAAATGAATTCAATAATAATTAGATGCGGCTGTTAGGAATATATGCTTCGTATTAGGATCATGTCATCAATGTCATATCTCCCTTTCTTCCAAATCTATGGTGAACTCATATTGGGCAGATAAAGTTATCAATAGAGGTGAATATGTGGAGCTCAGGGTTGAACTGTGGAGTCCTTGGGGTGCTCAGAGAAGCTCAGAGAACCCCAGGGACTCCACAGATAAAGTTATGGCCAAAAGGCACATTTTGGATTTTGTTACTGATTTGGATGTTGTCAACTGCTACTACAAGTCAGGTTCTATGAACCCCTAACATTGAAATCATCTCTGTTGGAATTGCTTGTCATTGAGAGAAGCAGGTGAACAGATCCATTATGCTATAGAGTCTTCTCTTCTTGCCCCCACTATAGAATCTAACCATTGACTTATCTTAAATAACATGTTTGCTGACTTATGGACAAGGTGGGTTATAAATGTATCTCTTTGTCCTGGTCTGCCCTGTTCTAGAAGCTGATCCCTACTCTTTTTGTTTGTCTCAGGCCTTAAATTGCCAACTAGGACTGTGCAGTGCTTCAGATTTTATTGGGAAGAGATGCTTTGGAATACATGGGTGCAGACATGAATGCAGCACTGTTATATTACTCATTAAAGCAGCCATGTCAGTTTCCAGGATTGCACAGCTGTAGTGGAAACTTCTCTACAGCAGTTGTGTGATCCTGGAAGAAACTGCTACTGTTAGTCCTTGCTTAACAACCCTAATTGGGACTGGAATTTCCATTGCTAAGTGAAGCAGTGGTTAAGTGAAACATCATGTCACCACACCACTTGGCAACAGCAGTCCTGGTTGTGGTTGTTAAGCGAGGACTACGTGGTCATTAGGCAAGGACCTCGTGTGACTATGACTTGCGACCTCCTGCCAGCTTCCCCATTGATTTTGCTTGTCGGAAGCCATCTGGGAAGGTTGCATATGGTGATCATCCACCTCTTCTCCTCTCTACTGGGCTTGCCACTGCCCCTCAGTGCCTTCTTGGCATCTGCCCCTCCAGGGAGGGTTCTACATGATCCCCAGCCAGCGGCAGGGGCAGGCTGAGACTGCTGAAGCAGGGCAGGCCAATCAGGAGCCCAGCAGCTGGGGAGGTGGACAATAGAATGGGGGTGAGCCCAGCACTGACAATGCCCCTGTGCCATGAGGCTTGAGGCCAACTGGTGGCAGCAAGCCAAGCAGAAAGAAGGCAAGGTAGATGCTGAAGAGGAGGACGAAGACGACAGCTCTGAGGAGGAGGACAGGGAGGAAGGTCCACTGTGGGTAGGTGGTGGTGGAATACAGAGGCATCTTCATCTCGGCCATGCTGTGCAGAGATGGGGAGGGGAGATAGGCAAGTGGGGGGAGTTGAAGTGGGGGCAATTTGCTTAGGGCAGGAGAACATGACTGTGGGACACTGAAACTGTCGTAAATAAGGCTGGTCACCA